GAATTCATAACAAGTGTTTTTGATACATGAAATACTGTTAAAAATGCAGGAACTGGGCCATACTTATGATATGCCCCTTAAAAATCTCAGGAGAAAACCCAGAAACTACGTTTTTAAAATACACTTCCTAAGTTATTCTCACAGGCACTGGCTTAGTGAAAAATTGGAGTGATGATAAGGAAATCATCTGATAATAAATTTATTTTGAACTTCTAATATTTTCCAGTCATCCTACCTTTTTTATCTGAATGAATGGCATGTATAGTATATGTGTATAAATGCTCATTTTAATAATGTTAATAGTATAGCAAATAATAGTCTATATATAATTGACTTGTTTGTTACAACTTTCTTTTTGTTTCCTAATTCATTCATAAAAATGGTAGACTGATAATTTGTGAGCCTGCTCATTCATCAGCATTGAGAATCTGGTACAGTTCTTTTGTCCTAAGTGGAAAGAATACAACATGAGTTGAATTCTTCTGTGGTGGGCATTGTCCTACATGCTTTGTCATAGCAGACCTATGAGATAGTTACCATTATTGCCCCATTTTATATCAAGGAAACTGAAGCACAGAAAGGTTAATAATTAACTTGCTTAAGTTTACACAGCTAGTAAAGAGGAGCCAGGATTCAAACAGATAGTTTGATTCCTCAGTCTGTGCTTCTAACTATTTCATGGTACTTACTTATATAATAGAGGGAATAATAATAATAATAATAATGATACCTATTTCATAGGGATTGTATTTTAAATAAATCTACATAATGCACTCAGCACAATACTTGGCCCATATCAAGAATTCACAGTAAATGTTACTGTAATGAGAATGTCGAGTAGAGAGTTTCTGTTCTCTGTCTTGATGTATAAAAATATGGCAATACTTTATGGCACTATGGAATAAACAGGAGATGTTGTTTAAAGCTGGAAGGTATGTGTTTGGGACTGAAAGAATCAGTTTGTGAGCATGCCTAAAACCAATTGGGAGTGAACCAACTGTGAAAGTGAACTAAAATCACCCAAAGTCACAACTAGTAAGTGGCAGATCTGAATTAGAGCTCAGGTTTATCTGAATCCCAAACTGTCTCATAACTATTCCATACTTTCTCCCAGAAATTCTATTAAGTATGTTTAAACATGCAAATAAAATCTTCCAATCTCTGAAATTTAGCATGAATGCAACCAGTAGAGAGCAAAAGACTATTGTGTCATTTAGGTTAATTGCTTTCTTAATACATAAACTTTACTGTATGCATGATTTACATATGTGTCACACCAAAAACATACATTTGTAGTTGTTGCATTCTCAATTTTGTAGTACTTGAGACCAGCTGAAATCATAAATTTTAAGTGTTAAATTCTATTAAATGCTTTTCATTAGAATTTTAGGCATAAGCTTATATTAAGATTTTTTTAAAATATAAATATAAAATACAGAAATTCAATTCAAATTAGTTTATTGGTTTATATGATTCAGTACAACTTTATCCAGGGGCCTGAACAATTCAATTAAGTCTCATTCTGCCATGGCATGATGCTTTCCTCATGTATATCAAAGTTGACTAGTGGCAGCTTTAGGCTCATAATCATCTTCCAGCTAGTGATCAGAGTGAAACAGTTGTTATTTGGTAGTTTCAATAGAAAAATTTGGGAGTTATCTGATATGTTTCTCCCCAGGTATGTTATGGGCAGGTAAATTATTATGAGCTTATGTATATCATTTAAAAGGGTTCTAATCTTTCTGAACACATCAGAAGTCTTTGTATCCATTGTTATTTATTTTTTATATAAAACAGGCTTAACTGTATTTCTTGCTTTCAGCTGTATCAGTTGGAGTAGTTACCATAAGAATCTGTTAGCCAGCAGTGATTATGAAGGCACAGTCATTCTATGGGATGGATTCACAGGACAGAGGTCAAAGGTCTATCAGGTAAAGATACTAATTATTTGTTTTAAGAATCACTTTTTTATTCTCCCTTCTTAATAATTGTAGAGCTTCATGTGCTGTATAATTACAAATTTAAAGTCATATACATCATTTTTTATACCTATGTAATACCAAATAATGCTTTTCTGAAACATCTCTTCAGACTTTTGCATTTGAAGAGTGTATCAAATCAATTTCCAAAAGCAATAATTTTAGTAACGGTATGTCTAAAAAGTTTAGGGACTACTTTGCATCTCATTTGTTCTCACAGCCTGTTCTCTCTCCCTCCCATCAAAGCAATAAATTATTATCAAGTGTTTTTTCTTTTTTCCTTTCTATATACTCTGTCTGAGACTTCTTTGTTTTCTTTCTACATGCAGGAGCATGAGAAGAGGTGTTGGAGTGTTGACTTTAATCTGATGGATCCTAAACTCTTGGCTTCAGGTTCTGATGATGCAAAAGGTACTACTTGAGTCTCCCTCAATTTTCCTTCCCTATCCCCAACTTAATTCCTTTCAGTGGCAGAGATGCAGATATTTATTGAAACTCTAAGCAATCCTTTGTGATTAATGACTATTACAGAAATAATCTAAGCACAAAAATCTGTATCTCTTTTGGAGTGAAAGAAAAATGAATACACTGAGTCTTCATTTTAATAATGTTTTCTGATTTATGTTACATGATGACATTTTTAAAACCAATTCCTTTATATATCCTATCAAATGAACTTTTCTTGCTGAACTATTTAGATATCTATTCTGAATTATAAAATTTCCAATGTATACTAAAGTACTAAAATTATTAAATTTCCACAGTATACTAAAATCTTTCAACAAAGTTTATCATTTGAAGACAAAGATTCTGTATCGCTTTCTGACAATTAAATTGACATCTTCTAGTTTTTCTTGTATAACCATCTTTAGTATTCATTCTTTTCTGTTATCCTTACTGTTCTATTTTGGCCTGGTTCTTCTCACCATTAGATTTATAAAGCCTGTTAACAGGTTTCTTTTATCTTAGAGTTAGTAGCCTTAATTTCTTCACCCTTCCCTTCTTTTGTACGTGTAACTTTTCCATACTAGTGGTTAGATAGGCAAGGATAGCTCTAGTGTTGAGAACTACTTCGCAGTGATACGGCAGGACCTGTTCTCTAGGGAAATTAACATGACTGGACTGCCCCCAAAAGTTTTGAATCAAAAAGTAACAAGTTGTTGAACTGCAGTGCATATAGACTGGAATACCTTCCTTCTCGATTGTTTTAAGTAATTTTCCTTGAGTTTTTAAATTATTTAGAGAGTCATGTTACAATTGACTAATTAATGTTAAATGTTTCTTTTCAACATAATATACTGGGGATCGCCTTCACTGAGTTGAATACTTGTAGTTTTGCACTGAAGACTAACATTTGTTCAGAGGTGGTAACTGGTAAGTTTTCATCAGGAGAAGAGAAGCCATTATAAGCAATTTAAGTAGAAAGTGATTTAAAAAAATATTTTTTCATTTTAAATTGTATTGAAGTACACATAAAATTAACCATTTTTAAATGTATTGTTCAGTGGCATTAAGTACATTCACGTTATTGTGTAGCCTTCACCACCGTCAATCCAAAGAACTTTTTTCATATTGCAAAACTGGAACTCTACCAGTAAAACGTAACACCCCATTTCTCCTTTGCTTGTCCTTGGAAGTCACCTTTGTCCTTTATTGTTTCTGTGAAATTAACTACTCTTTAACTACCTCATTTGAGTGGAGTCATAGAGTACCTTTTGTGATTGGCATATTTCACTTAGCATAATGTCTTCAAGTTATACCCATGTCGTAGCATGGGTCAGAATTTCTTCTTATAAGGAATAGAAAGAATTTCCTCTTGTAATTAATATAATAGAAAATAATTCTCTATTGTATGAATATATCACTTTTGTTTATCCATTCATTCATTTGTTGATAGACAGACACTTGGGTTGCTCCTATCGTTTGGCTTTTGTGAATACTGCTACTTTGAACATGAATGACAGAATACCTCTTTAAAAAGAGTCCCTGCTTTCAATTCTGGTATATACTATGAAATAGAATTGCTGGATCATACAGTTCTTATGTGTTTAATTTTTTAAACTGCCCTTCTCTTTTCCACCGAGGCTACACCATTTTACATTTCCACAAGTAGTGCCTGACTATTCTGATTTTTCTATATCCTTGCCAGTAGCTGTTCTTTTCTTTTCTTTTTTTAATGATAATGATCTTAATGGGTGTAAAGTGGTATCTTACAGTGATTTAAGTCCAATGCCCATTTTTTTGATGGAATGTTTTGTTTTTTTGTTGTTGAATTGTCATTCTTTATATATGCTGAGTGTTAACCCCTTATCAGATATGTGATTTGTTGATAGTGTGCTTTGGTGCACAAAGTTTTCTCATATTGATAAAGTCCAGATTGTCTTTTTCCTTTAATTGTCTGTTCCTTTGGTGTCATTGGATGACGGTGTCATCCAAGAAGCCATTGTCAATCCAGTGTAATGAACCCTGCCTTGTGTTTTCTTCTAAGAGTTTGTATAGTTTTTTTAACTCTTATGTTTACTTTGACCCATTTTTAAGTCACTTTTGTATTTGGTGTAAAATAAGGGACTGACTTCACTCTTTTGCTTGTGCTTATCCAGTTTTCCTAGCACCACTTGAAAAGATAATGCTTTCCCTACTGAAAGTCTTGGCACCCTTGTCAAGAATCATTTGATTATATCTGCGAGGGTTTATTTCTGGAGATTGTTCTCTTCCATTGATCTGTATGTCTGTCTTTATGCCACTACTTCCCTGTTTTAATTACTATGGCTTTGTTTTGCAATCTGGAAGTATGAGTCCTTCATCTTTTTTCTTTTTCAAGATTATTTGGCAATATTTGGGTTCTACTAAGATTCCATATGAATTTTAGAGTGGATTTTATTTTATTAGTTCTTCTCTTCTTAGTTTGAATTTAATTTTCTTCCCCCCACCAAGTTTTCTGAGTTGAAAACTTAGATTATTGATTTTAGATATTTTTTCTTTGCTAATACATGAATTCATTGCTATAAATTTCCCCTTATGTGCTACATCCCACAAATTTTGACAAGTTATCTTTTCATTTAGTTCAAAATATTTTTTACTTTCTCTTGAGATTTCTTTGATTTATATTATTTAGAAGAGTGTTGTTTGATCTCCAGGTGTTTGGCATTTTCCAGCTATCTTTCTGTTCCTGATTTCTAGTTTAATTCCACTGTAGTCTGAGTGATACATTATATAATTTCTCTTATTTTAAACTTGTTAAAGTATGTTTTATGGCCTGGGATATGATCTGTATCAGTGACTGTCCAGGTGAGTTTGAGAAGAATGTATATTCTGTTGTTGTATAAAGTAGTCTGTAATTAATTATATTCAGTTGATTGATGGTGCTTTGAGTTAAAAAATGCCCTTACTGATTTTCTGCCTGCTTAGTCTGTCTATTTCAGATAGAGGGTTATGTATCTTTTAGACTCTCCATCAATCTGTATGTTTCTTCTTTTACTATACCACATATTCTTGATTTGTACCTTTATAGTAAGTCTTGAGATCAAGTACTAGGAGTCCTTCATCTTTGTTCTTGAAGATGATTTAATTTTTTACTTACTCTGCTTTTCCATATACATTTTAGAATCAAGTTGCTACTGCCTACAGAAAATCCTCCTGGGATTTTGATTGAGATAGTACTGAATCTATAGATCAATTTGGGAAGAATTCATATATTAGTATATTTGAGACTTCTATTCCATGAACATGGTTTATCTTTCCGTATTTAGGCCTTTTAAAATTTATCATAATTATATATTTTTTAGCATACAGATCTTGCACATTATTACAACTAAATAGTTTATAGATTTGGTAGAATTGAAATGCCATTTAAAACATTAATATCCTTTTTTTTTTGCTAGCTTATAGAAAAACAATTGATTTTTAAATATAAATCAACAGCCTTGCTAAAGTCACCCTTTACTTTTAAGATCTTATGTTTGGAGATTCCTTGGGCCATTCATATTGGCAAACAGAGGCATTAATACTTTTTTGCTTCCAATGTGTGTGCTTTTTCATTTCTTTTACTTGCTTTGTTGCACTTGCAAGAACTTATAGAATGGTGGACGTATAGGAGTAGTGACAGCAGACATCCTTACTTGTTACTGATTACTTACCATCTTTCACCATTAGATTAAGGTTTTTATTGGGCTTCTTTTGCCAGGTTAAGGAAGTTCTCTTCTGTTCCTAGTTTGCTGATGATTTTTATAATGTATTGAAATTTGTCATGCTTTTTCTGTATCTATGGAAATGATCATATGTTTTTCTTCTTTCGTTTGTTAATATCATGAACTATAATAATTTATTTTCAAATCTTGACCTTAAATCCCAGTATAAACTTCATCTTTTTCATGATGTATTATCATTCTTCTGCATTGATAGATTTGATTTGCTAATTTTTTTGAGGGTTATTTGACTCTATGTTCATGATGGGTATTGGCTTTTATTTATTCTTGTGTTGTCTTATGACTTTCATATCAAGATAATGCTGGCCTCATAAAATGATTTTCCTCTCATATAGTTTTTTTCAGGGTCAGGGTGTGGAAGGAAGTGACTGTTGAAAATTATTATTGTTTTGTTCTTAAATGTTTGGTAGAATTTGTCATTGAGGGCTTCTAGGTCTGGAGTTTTTTTTTGAAAATTTTAATTAAGAATTTAATTTATTTGACAGATTTAGGATTATTCTGTTTCTTCTTGAGTGAACTTCAGTAGTTTGTATCTTCCAGGAATTGGTATTTTGTGTCCTCTCATTTATTATTAGTTATGTATAAAGTCATTATGGCATCAGATTTATCAGTCTTACTGCTCTTTTCAAATAGCTAACTTTTACTTGATTGATTTTTCTCTATTTTTGTTTTGTTTATTCATCAATTTTTTCTTGCTTTTGACTTTTCTCTTTTTCTGGTTTGTTAAGGTTGAAGTTCATGTCATTAATATGAGCCTTTTATCATTTCTCATATAAATATTTTGATATACATTTCCTTTGATACTTTAGCTGATCCCACAGATTTCATATAATGCATTTGCTTTTTCACTCAACTTAAAATTTCATCTAATTTCTTTGTTGATTCTTTTGTTCAGCTAAGAATTACTTAAAAATGTATCTTTACATTATCTTCCTTTCCTTAAAATATTCAGAAATCTTTCTGTTATTGATTTATAGCTTAATTCATTTATGGCTAGAGAACATACTTTGTAAGAGTTTAATTGTTTTGAAATGTGCTATGATTTGTTTTGTGGTCCAGAATATGATCTACCTTGGTAAATATTCCATATGCATTGAAAAGAATCTGTGTTTAGCTGTTTGCTGGAGTGTTCTATAGGTGTCAGTTCAATTGTTGATTTTTTTTTTGGTTTTCTATATCTTTGCTAATACATTTTTTTTGTCTCTT